ACTGATAAAATTGATGATGTTAGGGTAAATGGATCTATATATTTTTCTTTCATAACTATAAGAATATTAATATAATTTTTTAAAATATTAAAAATTAAAAATATTAAAGATAGTTTATAATTAATCCGGAGGTTCAAAGAGACGAAGAGAGGGGGAGAAGGAGGGGCTGATTTGAGAAACAGAAAAGGAATTTAAGGGTAAAACTGATATTTACAAAAAAAAACACGTAAATACATATGATAAAAATGATAAAAACTAATTAGTAATGGTCTTTTTAGGCTGATTATCTAAATAAATAAATACAACTAAAATATAAATAAACCACTTCCTCGATTCTGCGACACCTCGCCGCTTCTCTCTCTCTCTCTCTCTCGCTCGTCTTGTTCTCTCGGTCGGTCGCTCTCGCTCTCTGTCGTCCTCGTCCTTCGTAGAGAACGTCGATGTGGCTTCTCCTTGTTTCGACCCTGCGTAGATCGGCGATCCGAAGTCGGAGCACCTACGCGCGGTTCGGCAGCTTCGCAGCGGCTGAGAAGGGGCGCGGACCGTCCGATCGTGATCTCGGGGCAATCGGGAGCGCGGTCGTGGGGGTATTGGCCGTCGGTGCATCGGGGCTTGGACTCTGGTCGGTTTCTTCATCCTCATATTTCCCCGGTTCTTCCCTTTACTTCGCCGACTCCGATTTGGCGCAGAAGGAGCCCGACCTTCGGATCGTGTCAAATGATGCGAAGATAGAAAAGAAGCCCAAGTTTCTGTTACCAGGTCAGTCTTTGACTGTTTGTGTACGTTAAACGATCCCAATTACTCCGATCAGCTTGGATGATACCGGTCCAGATCGGGTGCGTCTCGTACCTGAATCGGATCCGCCAAGTATGCGAATGAACTCAGATGAGATGCATACTAAATCAGATGATTCGCTCTGCACTATTATTAGTATTGCTTGGATCACTAATGTGCTGCGATTGCAATATCGGAAATATAAACGAATTAGTATCACTCTTGCTTGCTGCCTCATCCACAAAATGACTTCGGATATAGGAAACCTTTTATGCATAATTTTTGTTGATATTTATATTAGACTTAGTGTTTGTCTGTTTATTTTGTGCAGATTCATATCGTAGAAGGGTGTTCTTCAACTATGAGAAACGGATAAGATTGCGAAGTTCTCCTGAAAAGGTATTCTGTCGAGAAATATCCATATTTTGCTCAACTATTTTGCAAGATTTGTCCTTTTACTTATTATAGATTCACGTCTTTGTTAAGTATAACTAATAGCCATTTCAATGTGTCCTTCTTGACATGGTGAAATGATCTTTCTGGTTAGAAATTATTCTTCTCAAACTGCAGTGTCATCTGATGTTTATCAGACAGGCGTGTGTGGTTGAAACATCCAATTTAGGTTTCCATAGATAACACTCCGCTTGTTACTCTCTACTGGGATTCATGTAGTGTCAAATATACTTTATTTGTTGCAAGTAAAGGATCAGCATTCTTTTCTTCTTTTATATGGTCTGGTTAGGCCCATAATAGAACTTAGGTGGCCATTACATTATTTTTCAAGAACTGATCACCAGCTATCGAGGGCCTAAAAACATGGTAGTCCAGCTGGAACATAATGGTACATCTAAGTTGGGCCAAAGCTTGTAGATGCTAGCACTTCTAACCCCCATCCAAACTAGAGGAACCTGGAAAACCAGCAAACAAGCTGTTGCATCTGTTAACAGTGCAATTGAAATGCAAAAGTTTAGTGTTCTAAACAGGTAATGTACCTTTGAACCAGCAATCCAGTTGTTGCATCTGTTAACAGTGCAATAGAAATCCTAAAGTTGAGGTGTGTCAAAAAGATAATATTCTTATTGGTATGCAAAGTTAACTGTTGGGATTTGGAGTTGTGCTCCATTCCCCGGCAGATCATCATTAGCATCAAGTCAATTAGGCTTTTTCTGAAGGAAATGAAACAGAGAAGTGAGGGGTTTTGATCAGCTAATATCCCAATAGGGATGCAACTTGAAGTTTAGTGTTTATACTATTTCAGCTGCGGTTGGTGTAGATACCCATGTGATTGACTCGACTAAGAAATGAAGAATTATCAAGTACTCGACATAACAGATTTTCTTAATACACCATCTAATGATTGCTATATTACCAGTTACTCATCCAAAACTAGTTCAAATCAGTTAAGCAACTGACCGAAACCCTCAATGTTCTCAGGTATGTAGTTCGCTCATATTTTTCCCATAAAAATCACTATTTCATCACAAATACCAGTAATCAATCATGTATATATTGTACAGTGTACACATAAAAGTTGAATTTTGTTATTGTTTCTGGAACAACTTCAGAGTATTGTAGTCCAAAATGGTAGGAGTGTTTTCGTTGTATTGACTTTTAAGCAATCACTGGATGATTTTTTTCTCTGTAAAAACTCAAAATTAATGTTTTTCCAACACAAAGTCAGTGAAGATAAACTCCATTATGGATTAAATGTCTTTTGTTGCATCATCTAGGCAAAAGGAAACAATTTTCAGTGGAGAAAATTTTGTTCCTGCTATGCAATAGCTCCATAACACAATAGGTTTACTTCTTAGAATTTCACATGTATATTTGTTAGCATCTGATGTTAGTCTTCATGTACATTCATTTCCAAACTTAGTGCTTGTTGGTATGTAGATATGTACAAATTACCAGAATCCAAATTTCTCTATTTAGTCCTTATTTTCTTCTATTCTATATTTGGTTTTGCCTTACTGTTTTTATATGGTATTATAATGTAATACAATTCAGTAGTATGTTTTAAACTTGACTTGTTTTCCATGTTTTCTTTATAGATTTTCGAATATTTCGCAACATCTAAGAACACAAAAGGAGAAATATGTATGACACCTGCAGATTTTATGCGAGCAGTTGTTACTGTTTTTCCTCCATCAGAATCCAATATTGTTAGAGAAGGATATTTGAGAGGGGAGCGTGTTCCTGGGGAATTGCATTGCGCGCCATCTTCCTTTTTTATGCTTTTTGATACTGATAGTGATGGACTAATATCCTTCCCAGAGTAAGTCAAAGATGTCTGTGTTTTTTTTTTTTTCCTTTTTATCCATTTATTTCTTCAAGCTCGTTTTAAGCACAGGGCAGTTTTGTTGTTTCTCAACCTACATTTTGCCTTGTTACCAGGTACATATTCTTTGTGACCTTGCTTAGCATTCCTGAATCAAGCTTCAGTGTGGCTTTCAAAATGTTTGATCTTGACAATAATGGGTAGGTTTTGTTCCTCGTGCATGAAGTTTTGTTCCTTTCTTTTACAGAAATTGTTCCCCCTGTCTTGTTAACCATTTTATTTGCATCATTAATGAAACTCTTTCCTGTGGTTCCTCAAGAAAAACAAAGACTTTGAAACAAGCATAGCCAAGCTGAAACATGTTGTGCTGAATATATACCTTGGGCCTTTATATTCATAACAATGTCATGCTTGCTTTTGGTACTGTAGAAAAAAATCTTGATCAAACTTATATCCTATATTTGCCCAATGGATAGAATATGCTCATGGTAAGAATTCATATGGGTTTGATGTACTCTTATCTTCGACGAATGACCCTGCATTGAGCCAGCATTCAATGAGGTTAGTTATATATATATATATATATATATATATATATATATATATGTCAAAATCCCCGATAAAGGATTTTAGTTTCGAATGAAACCGCCCGTACCGGGCAGTATCGTTGATCTATCCTTGTATCGAACGATATGGGGTTGTATCGGGTGGTAACGGTCGATATTTCCATCGTTACCGCTTGAAATAGGTCGATAACGATTGATTTCGACTGTTGCCACGCACTACCGAGCGGTATCTACCTAGTTGCGACAAGGGAAGAAGAAACCTTGAGGGAGAAGAGGGAGAAGAAGAGGGAGAATCGGGAGAACCTCGACGCTTCCCGATCCGATGCCGCCCTCCCTCGACGATCCAGATCCAGGAGGTAACGGAGAGGCGATGACTCGGCTTCTTCGTCGCATTCTTCGCCAAAGGTTGGAGATGTCTGCAGCCTTCGACGTCTTCGTCGAATGCCGCATATGAGGAGAAGGTCATGTTCTTCTCCTCGTCCGATGCGACGAGAAGAAAAGGAGGTGACGTCGTCGAGGCAACATACGCCTCCTTTTTATTTTTATATTTTTTATATTATATATATACACGTACCAAGTTGTACAACCTAGCGTACTGCTCGATACGCTCATATCGTACTGTACCGAGCAAAGCTTGATATGTCGGTATGATACGAAATTGTGAACCTTGATATATATATATATATACATATATATATATATATATATACATATATATATATATATATATATATATTTGCCTAACTATGATCTTTGTGTTTAGAGCTAAAAGTGTTGTGATGTGTCCTTGCCATCCTAGAGCGAGTCCGTTGTTGGCATGTGGCATAGAAACCAATGTACCGATCAGCTGTCAGTACGATATGTACTGAGTTATACCGAGTGTATCGACACACGGAACACTAAGATGTATTGATGTACTGCCCATACTAATCCTTTATCGGACCAGTATATACCACCCGTACCGAGCGGTATGGTACAGTATTAAAAACCATGGTAGAAATCGATGTTTTGGAATGTATTCTCAATTTAGAAAAGAGTAAAGTTTCATATATAGCTGTAACCTTTTATGTGCTTGATTTACTAGGTAATTTTAAAAATTTTTACAATAACTGTAATTCACATCAGATTCAGAAAGCTATTGTTATTTTTTTTATAGCAGGAAAGGGCCTGTTTTTAAGCCTTTGAAACGTTGACTACATAAAAATTAAGGTAATCCATTGACTTCTTCTAAGTTTTTGTACACTTTTAAGCTTTGCTTCATACTGAGAGGAAGCCTTATTCTGACTTCACTGGCCAATCTGAATTGAATGGTCAGTAGAAAATTCTGCAACCTCAGCATTTCCTTGTGGTTAAATGATGAAACAAAGATAGATCTGAAGTATTTCATTAGTTGGCAATTTAGTAGCTTGTCCTACTTTTTAAAATTTCTGATAAAAAATCCTTCATATCAATTTTAGGCGATCGTTGTAGGGTACATGGCTTGATAATATTGTTTAGATTGCGCTTTGCCACGTGTGACTAGGGGTTGAGTCACCAAAGTCTCCCTAACCCATAGAGTTAAGACCTACTTGGGGAGTTAATGCTTCTTATGTTGACCATCCCTTATCCTCACTGGCAAGAGCCTCATACACTATGCCACATTCTCTGTTATAATGATTTTGTGACTGTTTCTTGTTATTCTCAAGGGAAAAATATCTTCATCGGTCAGATAAATTGTTTTAGCTTGCAAACAGTCTTAACTTATGGAAACATTATCATCTTTTTATCTGGATTCATATTATTTTCTTATTCTGATACTGAGTCTTATTATTTAATCACATTTGATAGTACTCCATTTGCAATTCTTTTGCTGTATTATTTATCTATATATTTTTTATTACCATGTTTATATTTGGATCAATTGCATGTGTTTAAATTCATTTGCATCCAAATAACGCTGCTCTTTCTGAGCTGTGCAATTGCTGCTAATGATCTAGTTGTTGTTACAAGAAGGGTATGAACAATTTAATTAAGTTTCTTGGTGCTTGTACATGGATGCTAATGGCTTTTTATATCTTTTTTTCCAGAGAGATAAAAAGAGAAGAGTTTATGAAAGTGATAGGATTAATGCATTCTTATAATAGACAAGGGGTTTCTCATAGTAATGGCCTTCGCTTTGGTCTAAAAGTTGGTGGCTTTATTGAGAATGGTGGTCTGCTGCAATCTTTCTTTGGCAAGGATGGGACAGGCTGCCTCCAACATGATACATTTGTTCAATTTCTTAGGGACTTACATGATGAGGTACTTCATGCCACTCATTGATCTGAAGTCATAATTATGACCTTTCTGTGGTTTTCTCTTCCATTTGAGTGTCTTATACATATAGCTACCTAAAATTGTAATACTAATCCTTATATTTTAGTAAATGGTTGTCCTATTATCTCAAGCTATCATTTGACCAGATGCTTTTAATGCATAAAATGTTAGTAGATAAGCTCATTAGCCGAATGAGTGTGGAGGTTAATGGGGTAGCAACAAAGAGAGAACCATCATAGTAGAACATTAATTTCAAACTCTGTCTTAGGTTATTTTTGTGGCTGTTGTTTCTTGTATGGCTAAAAGTAGGAAGTGAAAGCAAGATTGATTGGATTAACTGCTTTCTTATGAAATTAATTCAACCATTTAATCTCACATTTAGAGTGGTAGTAGATCTAGTTTAGACAGCTGGCTGCATAATGTCATTACTAATCAGGATTTTGCATCAGTGTCCGAGTCAGGAGAAACTCGCCTTGGACAATCTCACCCTTTGGCTGAGCCTTCTAGAACGGTCCAACCAGAACTTTTTGCACCAAAGGGTCATATTGAGAACTTAAGAATCTAAATCAGGAGACAGTTTCATAGAAGTTAAGACATTTCTCATAATGATCATTCTACGACAGATTCACAAGAATTTTTGCTTGAGCTTCTAACAGAAGGAACCGTCTTCTCTATTCAATATGGCTTCTTTCTACTTACTGCTTCTTGCAATGTGATCCAATGTCATGTAGTCTCCTATTCAACTCGGATGGTATAGTATGGACTATGGAGACTTCATTCAACTCAAGCCTTATGTTCGTGCCTTCAGGCATGCAAGTGCTTGTCATTGCAGATTGGCATGTGTGACAAGGCAATTCATAAAGAATTGGATCTTTTGGATACTTATTTTGAACATATTACTTCGATTAATTTGCAAAAGCCAACTCCTAAAAGTTACTGCTATCGATTACGATTCAAAACTTATCATGGGTTTAGGCTTGGAATCAGAATTTGGGATCGGAATTATGCTGGATGTCTGGATCAAGGCCTGAACAGATTCCTGTCTGATTACAATTGAAGTCGTTCACCCCCTTCCCCTGGCGTGTTCCACAGATTCTGCCTGATCTTTGATCTCTTGAGGGTTTCAGTATACCAGCACTTTTTGGAATTAATAAATCAAGATTTACATCTTTTATAAATCAATATTCATAATATTTTCTTAGCTTCTGTGTTTTGCTATCACTAGTTCTTGTTAAAGTATTCAATATATGTGCAACATAATAAATGATTAAACTGTTGGTTTCTGAGATATTCTAGGTCCTGAGCCTTGTTGTCTCGTTTTAGTGATGGACTAGTCTTCCAAGATTTGCCTAGGATAGAAAGAGGTGTGGATGGGTTTGGAAGTTTGAAGGTCTAGTCTCATTCTCACTTTTCTTTTGTTACCAGGATTTTTAATACTGAAAGTGTTTTGACTATGTTTTATGAAGAGCCATAACCTGTTTAGGTCGTTATATTAGTTTAAAATTTTAGAATCTAAATCTTGAAGAGTATAAAATTATTTAAATTCAATATTGTTAATTCTAGAAATTTTGATGTCAGTTATTAAGATACGTGTCCAGGCTCGTTGTTACATCTGCTTGCATATTTATTATGTACTCACTGTTAGTTTCTTTAGTTTTTGGTCTAATATTTTAGTATTGTAGCTTGAAGTATCATCACAACCATTGGTACATAATGATTTTATCAATATTCTAGGTTTGGATTCATCTACATGGCTCATGAAGGGCTTTAATGATACTTCCATAAAAAGTTGCTTGTACATAGCATTTGGATACATATCACAAACATTTTACTTTCTTTTGTAAATGGTTAACTGGTTTCTGAACTTGAATATCATTTATCATTCACTTTACAAATTTATAAAGATTAATTTTAATTGTCGGCTACTGCCTTTTGCTTCTAATAAAATTTACGCTGTTCAGATTGTGCATTTGGAATTTGCACATTATGACTTCAAGTCAAGGGGAACTATTTCAGCTAAGGATTTTGCACTATCAATGGTTGCTTCAGCAGACATGAACCATATAAACAAGTTACTAGATCAAGTGGATGAATTGGATAATAACCCTTCTGTGAGAGATATTCGTATTACCTTTGAGGTAAGACTATTCTTGTACTCCTTCAGATCTTAGCCTCTTGATCTTCTTGTTAACCTCAAAATTTCTCAATGTCCAGGAATTCAAGGCTTTTGCAGAACTACGTAAAAGATTGAAACCCTTGACTCTAGCTATCTTTAGTTACGGGAAAGTGAATGGCTTGTTGACAAAGCAGGACTTTATACGAGCAGCATCCCACGTAAGATCAACTCTTTTATCTTTGTGTACTTCTTTTAGTTTCTAATTGTTGAAGATTATTAGCTGGTTTTTCAGCCGGTAGGAAAAGTGTGAGCCTTGTGGTAAATGTGATGCCATTGTATATGAATTATGTTTCGGGTAAAAACAAAATGCATTGGATCATTGTACAGGTAATGTATATGACACTGGTGGCTTTCAAAATGTTGGTGCCCTTCTATATGAATTTTGTTCATCTGATGTAACTTTTGTATTTCTTTCTTAGTCTAACCTTTAAATGTATTACCAGAACTATTACCATTTGCATTTTTATTGTGAATCATCTGTGTATTCACTCTGCATATCTGATGATATGATTTATCTATATGTTATACAAAATAAGAATACATGGTTATTACTTGTAGATATGCTTGCTGTCTTTAAACAAAGTCTTGTGCAACTGAAACATGGCCTTTTGTTCAGAGCAAATCTTGCTGTTTGTAATATCAGGATTCCCTTTTGCGTCCACTTGTCGATAAAGTTGGGATATGGATATTAGTCTATTTAACTAATTCTTAGTCTATCGACAATCCATTCCTCCATTTATTTTTTAGACTTTTTGCCTGAACTGTCTATATCTTTTCTTGGACTCATTACATATGACCAGCAATAAATTTTTGGTTGTTATGATATATGCTTCTGGTTTTCCTGAGTGCTGATGAATGAGCTCGTTTGGTATCAATTGGATATTTTTTTCTTTATATTGGATGAGAGTTGTCGAATATGAAATTAAAAAAGCTACCTTCGTGATGATAGGTTTGTGGTGTCTCTTTGACTGAAAACGTGGTTGAGATCATCTTCCACATCTTCGACACAAATCGCGATGGGAGCTTAAGCTCAGAGGAGTTCTTAAGAGCCGTGCAACGACGAGAAACTGATATTCGCGAGCCTAGCTCAACAGGCATCATGGGGCTCTTATCATGCTGGCTGCACTGCAGAAGGCACTGCTCCTCGTCGCAACTGTTTGGTTAAAAGCGGACCCGTGAACACAAAGGGGGATGCAGTGTTCAGAGCTGGCAGACTTTATTAATGGGGAAGAAATATTTGGATAGACACGATTCCTTCCTCTCGTGTGTGTTGCATATTGTGTCATGTCGATAATGTGTAAGGTTGTCGTCGGGATCGAGGAGACTAGATTTCTTGATCCCTTTTGATGTTCATTAGATTTCCTTAAATAGAATCTATGATTTGCACATAAACTTGTTATTTTTCTTAGTGTCTTAACTCGCGTCGTCGGACTGCTGTCAATTATGTAATGAGTTGGACTCATTGCACATAAAATTGGCATGGATATTTTTCTGGCAATTTTATGTGCAAATTTCTGTTGATGACAGTAATTGTTGATAAGTCTTTTTAGTCAATGAGATTGCTGTTGGAAATCATGCCTTCGGATGATTGCATCAACCAAAGTTCAGATGTCTGAGTGAGGTTTTGTGATCCAACCCAGCTTGTTCGCAAGCACTTTCTTGGAGCCTTCTTCGGCAAAGATGGAAGAGAAACGTAAAATCCATCTTCTTGTAATCCAATTGCCTGTGTGATGGGCACAGATGTTTCGATACAGGAAGATTAGTTTCTTGTTTGGCAATTTTCATAATTATTAACATTATCCTTAGTTTGATAAGGGAGGATTTAATACTGACCAAATGACAACAAGAAACACAATACAATGATAAATTAAATATTATTTGGCACTTGTCAATATGATCCTCTACTGGTATTTCGTTGTTGTAATACTTGAGTTTTTGAAATGCCATCAAACACAAGATACTATCAAAATCCACCATCCTGCCTTTGACTTGATGCTGTCTTCTTCTTCACTATGGAGAAACAATAAATTAATAGTTTGACCTTTACAGGATGAAGTTAATCCTGACCGCTGTGCTCTACAAAGACCAGCCGAAAGAAACTTAATCGTACATGTTATGTTGACAAATGTGAAGCTTAATCATGCATGTTATGTTGACAAATGTGCTCGACAAAAGTGTTGAGAAGCAAGCAACATTGAAAGGATCAAACTTCATTCAGGTCCACTCAGTCTACAAGTAATTTATACTTTTTATTTCTATAAAGTGCACCAATCAAAACAAAAGAACGGCACAAGACTTCATATGTTTTTTCTTATCATTCAATAACAGAGTACCAAACAATGATATCACTCGAATCTCTACAGCAAAAATTAGGAATGCCTAATCATGTAAAGAAGCATATGTAATAGACCAGCAACCATCACAAGCATTAGTTCGGTCTATCCTTGTTAGCTTACATCTGCTCCTGAAACTTTGGATAGATAGGCTTCTGTGAAAGGAAAAGTTTGTGATGGATGTCGTGGTACACTGTAAGATGGGAGAATTGGTCACTTTAATCAGGGCTTCTCGATGTCGAGTCTTTCTGAATTGAGAGAGCTTTTAGAAAGTCCAATGCAAACTGTAAGTCCATTGTCAAAATGATCTTCCTATAGTGTCACGACAAACAACCAGGAAAGTATAGAGTCACGAAGCTGGGTTGCAACACCTGAGTTCCATTGTTCCTCAAGCCATGGAACATACTTTTTCTGGTAAAGAGTTCAAGATGATGAACAAACAAGATTAAGAACATTAAGCATTTTGTAGACAATGGGTTGAAATGTGACTTAAGAGATTAGTTACCTTGTCTAGAACTGCTACAGCAAAGATGATCATCGTCCACATATGTTGCGTCGAGACCAATTATCCAGGAACCTACTGATGTATCATCATGAGCATATGTCTGGAGAGATGCACTGCAAGATGGTGAGATTAAAAGTCAACTTTACATTCAAATAAATGCTTTTATCCTACTTCAGGACAGGTTTATCCTTCTTTCCAATGTGGGATGTCTGCATGGATTATGAAACACTCGCAGAAATTAGCATTTGTCCTTCCACTATTGTGGACCTATAGTTCATTCTACTTGTGACTGCCTATATAAGATCCATACTTCAACAAATGTAAAGAACAAAAATGAAAAATGACACAACCAATGCACAAGGCTCCTGCCAATGCAAGTCTAGGGAGGATCAATGTAAAGAACAAATCTGAGTAAGAATTAATGCAAAGAACAAACCAAGAATATCAAAGTCTGACTAACGTCAACATGGTGGAAGCTTCTGATTGTGATTGTGCAAGCAGTAAAGCAGAAGCCAGAAGGCAGCCTACCTTATCTCCATGTCTTATACAACTGACATAATTCATTGAATAATGAAACATTCTAAACCAGCTCACGACCGATAAATTGCAGATCAGCTTATGATGACACATGGATAAAATATGAAGCATGATGACTTCTAGATTGCACAATCATAGCAACAATTTCAATAAAATACCAACAAAATTTAGGGATCCACACATGATCAATTTTAGTGAACAAATTTACATACATTGTTAAATCTGCAGCTTCTCCACTTGCAACATGAATCTTGTGATCACTTAAATAAGCAGATATAGGCTTTCAACATACAGAAGAACATAATAAGACAACTTCCTGCAACTGAAGATATGCCAATACAAGTATAAAAAGTACAATTCTCTATTTTTCCCTAAATTAGAAATTTAAGTTCTTATAGATAAAAGGAATTGCTTCAAAGAAACTAGGATGTCCACCAAGTAATATCAAGTGAACAAAATAATAATATTTAAGCTAGTGAAAAAGAAAAGGTCACTGATTCCATGAACTCACCTGTTTATGTTGATGTAACGAGCTAAATTATTTGATAATATAATAAGAGAACCAGCAGCATGACGGAAATACCTGAGCAGCAAAAAGCATTCATATAGAAAGCTAATACCATAAAAGAAGCACTATGATAAGAAATTGTATTGCTGCATAAAATACAACTTAAATTTTTTGCCTAGTGAATCTAAAAGAATAGCATGCAAAGGCCATAATTGTATATTTACATTCTGTGGTTGACTTATCCACAATATTTGACTCAATGAATTAGTAGTTATTCACTATTTCAGGTAGAAATTTGGCATATATTAGCAATAGCATAACAAAGAGTTAAAAGCAAAAAATGCAAACAGTATAAAGGTACTCAGCTATTAGGATAGGAAGTACTTGAAAGTTGAAATGAAGAAGAAAACAGACTGTGTTACTTTTTTGTTCCAAGATAAGGACAAAACTGATTCTTGGTCGAAGAGGAAATTGTACAACCAATTTATTTGAAGTTCATAGATTATCTAATTTGACTTGACTTCCTGTTGGATTTTTTACAGAAATTAGACTCTTGAACAATACTTTGATCTATATCAGTATCACCACTGACCAATCCGGTATTTGCCGAATTTCTGCGTCTTATAGACAGAAATCAGTGAGGATCAACTTAAAATCAATCAAACTCAACTGAACTTGGCTAATTTGGACCCATCTAACACCCACAAAAGTTAGAAAAGAAAAAAGGAAGAGTGTACGGGTAGAATGGAAAAAAGGAGAAGACAGTATAAAGACCAAGGAGTGCTTGCTGAGAAAAATACACACTTAATAATTATTATGTTGTTTAAACACATGGCTTCATTAAAAATATTATTTTAATTGTTCCAATTGGCAGGAACCTCATGCACTAGATATAGATATACCCTTTTACCTGATTGAAGCTTCAAATAATATTTGCAGTTTGATGACAAGGTGTTGTTTATGACTAAAGTTTGTATTATGATGTCCATGGCAAGAGCATGTCCATGTTTTCTGCGAACCAACTACAATAATTCAATTTCTTTAGTTTGGTAACCAGACCTTTCTTTCATCTTCAACATAAATCCATTGATAAATTCAAATTTCATATATACAAATAGATAGGATGTACTATAAATTGTAGTACTTCAAAACAAAAAATGAAATTTTGGATTACAAATGTGTATCGGTCGATTATCTGGACAGAACAGATAGGATGTACTATAAATTTTAGTACATCAAAGCAAAAAATGAAATTTTGGATACCAAATGTGTATCGGTCGATTATCTGGACAGAACAGGTCCAAAACATGCAGGCATACCGAAACATATTGGACCACAGTGCCATTCCGCTAGAGGAGGGAAAATGCAGGGGGAAGAAAGAAAGAAGAAGAATAAAGAGGAAGGAAGAAGAGAGGAAATGAAGATGAAGAAGAGAAGTAAAAGAGGAGAAGGATAATTACTGAAGATGAAGGTGTAGTGGGCTGCAGGTGATGCACGGACACGCATCAAGTTGAGCAGAGGGCGATGGCATGAAGACGACACAGGCTCATGGTGAGTCATGAGGACTAAGACAAAACACCTGCTGTCTTTAAAAAACACAACCCTGCTGTTTTAAGAAAAAGGAAACAAAATGCTGGAAATGGGTGGTCTAAGGTCTGGGTTCATGCTCGAACCAGTATATGAGTCGACAAGGACCGGTCAAAGTGAAATTGGATTCCCCGCTTCAAAGCAAGGCTTCAATATCAGTCACTCCTATTTGTATCAACCATGTTTACTGTTTCAATCAAGGGCTGATAAAAAACTAGCAAATTGATATTTATTTTTAATTATTTTTTCCCAATGATACTGAGCAACATAAGCCAACATGACATCCAGAATATTAATATCATATTAGTCTAGTATCAAAACAATAATTAAATCATTACTTTGAAACATTATTTTTTAGTACAAAGGCAATAACTTTGAATGTAACCAAGTTTTGCTGAAATAGAAATAGAATGATATAACAAATGCACTTACGACTTTGCTTCTCCAAATTTCCACCACTCAGGTTCATACCACTGTCTTCCCCTGAATATAGAAAGATGGACAAATGTTAAAAATATATTGAAATTTTACATGCTCAAGATGAGATTGATTTACCCTAATAAATGCAAATTTAGTTCTATCGGACATACTCTAACGGAGGCCTGTGAGTAAAAAAAGATATACGTAGCCTAAATTTGTTGCATTAACAGTCTTTAGGAAGTGAGATTTGTAAAGAATGATCCACAAGTTGTCATGAGAATTGCACATGAAAACTAAACTAAGAAGAATGCAATGGCACAAAAGCCAATGTGCACAAGTTAATCAATATTGCAAATACTCAACTTCTAGCATGATTGAGTTGGAAAAATGTTCATATATAATGAATTCAATTAAACAACTGACATATTCGCTAGTGGTTATTCTGGAAGATAATGTCAAATGAGAGCAAGTGCACTGATAGCATTACAGTATTGGAGAATTTCAGAATTTATCACAAAATAAGTAACATATTGATAGATGCTTTCTTTTGTCATTTTCTTTTTAAAGATTTCCTCTTTCTGCCACTGAGCTTTATTAATTCTCTCTTTATCATTTTCCCTCTCCTCCAGTCTAGTGTCCCTGAACACTTTCCAAAAATGCAATTCTATAGGTCAATCATGTTAACAGCATCAATTATTCCCATGTACCTCATGTTCTACAGATATAGTTACATTACAAAATACAAACATATTATAAGAGCTTTTACTCTTGAATTTTTGAATTTACATAATCCTTGTTATTATGAGGTCATCATGAGAAAATGTACTACTAATTACAACTACGAAATTATGAATGAGGATTTTATCACACATCCTCAATTGTAAATCATGTCAATTTGCTAATTCAAATAATGTACCCTGTCCATAAGGTTTTGCAACTCTGAATTATGATTGCAAGTGCTCGCCTTGCTAGGATTTTTATCTGAATGATGAACTATTATTTTGCAATTATGAACATAAAACTGAATTCTGATTTTGACTAGAACACAAGAAGTAGGCGATTTAGGTAGCCGTGCAGATCAACGGGTTTCTGATTTTGAATTGATCATGCTTCATATTTCAATTCCCTTTGAAATGAAGATTGTAGTAAACATTGAACACAAATTTTTAAGCATCAACTAAAAATAGTTAATATATTCTTAGGCAAAAACAAGACCAATTACAGCATGATCATACCCTTGCCAAGTTTTAACCACATGTACTTGACAAATTAGACAATTAAAGCTATAAAGCATGGATAAAAATAATAATACATTAATAATAGCACATACAGAATATGCTGATATGTATAACTTTTTTTAAATTATTTTCCTTGTTAAACACTCTGACTACATGTAATTTGCAACTCAAATGATTAAGGCTATGAAAAATGCATACAGATACTGGATATTGATATGACATATAGAGATTGAGTCAATATACACAACTTTATTTCTGTAGTTCTTTTCCTTGGTATACATTTTGACTACATGTACTTTGCAGATAAAACAATTAAAGCTATGAAGTACTTCAAGAATGTACAGAAGATAAAAATTAATAATAACGAATGAACTAAGATCATAACTCATGATCTGATGCTTAATACCAACAACACGAAACAATGTATAATTATAGATTCACCTCATTGTATCTAAAAAAATCAACATTCATGAAAAAAATAAACTGCTCCCAATCAGTGTCCATGAGTTGTCCTAAAAATATTTGATATCTGGCATGAATCTAAGAAGTAGTGTAGGTACATAGTACCTGATACAAATTTCAAGGAATTTGAATTACATCTAATCTTTTATGTATATTCTCATTCTGAGTTGTCATCACTGAAAAGGACATTGATTTGTTGAGTTTCACCACCTAATGAAATTAAACAAAATTTAAACAAGCAGTCTGTGTAATACACTTGTTCTTGCATTAAAATAATTACTTAGGTTACAAACTAAAGAAAAAAAGTCAAATATAGGGAAATATTACAGATTGAAAAAACCATGTCAATGGTGTTATAGATATTATTAATAATTAATTATCTGTCCTTGATGCACACAACGCCTTTCCAAAACCAATTTTCTAGTAATTAGAAGAAGCTATATAGCTACAGTCTTCTGGATTCTGTAATATCATAAAAGAAAATAAATATTGGATCACTAAAGTAAACCAATAAGGTTAACAATTTAACAATGCCATCAAATATGTTATTGTCCATTAAAACTGAAGGGGAGCATAATTTTTGCAGTATATGAAGAATTTACAGATATCATCAATAATATTGTTCAAAAGTTGAAGAATATACTCTTCACTTATGACACCACCAGACTTCATGCAGCCCATGTACAAGCCATGGCCTCCACGACGTTTTTCAAGAATCTCTATTAATCCATCTGATAGACACAAACAGGAGCAAACATTAAAATGTTCATTTAAACTAATTGCAAAAAATATGAATTTTTAATCATCAAATAAAATTGGAGTATAATATCTTACCTAGATCAAGATTAATATTATCATCAACCTTAACATAGAACTCGGCATCCCATGATTCAACTGCTGAGCTGAAGAAGAATTTAGCTTTTCTAGGCAACTCTTCTGCAGCTTCCTCATGACTTTCCTAAAAGACAAATGAAATATCCTTATGGATATAAGAGTAATGACAATTGTAAATTAAGAAAACTAAAATGAGAGTAATGCACTAAAATGTAGTCAGATTACTACCATATATAAATTATCAGAAGTTAACATAGTAGATTTTCTATATTCATCGGTAATTTAGTTGTGAATATAGTAGTCTATGAAGCAGAAAAGAAAGATCTGGTAGGATAATTCACAAACCAGATTCCTTTGAAAAAAAAAACGATTCCATTTATGCTACAAATGTTACTGATGCATGTCAGACAACAACTATTGTGATAAGCATAAACCAGTTTATAAGAAACTCAAGTTTATGTTAACCAATCTGCAGATGAATTTATTTTTAGTAATAGTACCTACTCAAGTCTACAAATGATCTTAGCAAAACCATTTTGCAACATTAAGCATAAGAGCACATAGATATGTCATTGAAGTTGATATGATCAATGTTCACCACCCAATTGTTGGGTGAGAGTTGACGCATGGGCGCCAAGCTGTCAGAAAATGATAAAACAATCCAGCCAATCTCGCCACATCACCAAAAATTAGAACAAAAAATATTCTATGAATCAAGGATGACTAAGATAATGTTTCCCAATCTATAAACAGGGGTTCCACAAGGTACAGAGAGGTTCCACAAGATAATATTCTTCTTCTTCTTCTTCTCCTACCCCAAGGTTCCACCTCAAACCATTTGCAGGAAAGGCGCAAGAACCTGACCCTCGAGATTCCTGCCACCAAATCGATTCTCAAAGTGCAGGATAATTCAAGGCGGTCCAGGTGAGATTGTTCCATAATTCGGATTGATAACTGACCACCAAACCAACAGAAGTTATTTTTGAATTTTTTGTTCTCAAACACAGATTATTATGCATGATTGAACCATGACAGATGCATGCCAAACTTAATAAAAAAGGAAAAGGTGATAATGACAGAATCTTTTCTAGTCAAGAGTTGTTAAGAATATAAGGTAGTATAACACAGAGGAATATATGGAAACTGAAGACAGGTTCTTTGTTAAATTAGAGAAGATATTCAAATACTTCATTCATAAGCATTAGCATTATCAAAAAGAAAGAACTTCAGTTTCCGACATCAACCTGCATAAGTATCCTTTACAAAATTATCCATTCATGAGCATAACAAAAGATCATAACTTACAAGAATCAAGAAATCCTTTGTCTGGCGATTTTCATCATCAATATTACGGTCTAAGCTATCACCTCGATTAGCACTGCAAATAGAAAGTTTGTGTTGCGAAATAAGATATATAGCAAAATCTTCATAACAACATGACTACACACACACAGGAGCACCTCGAGTATCACTCACAGCCTAAGCATCTTGCCAGAGAAAATCATAAGGTTGTAAATCAGAATCAGAAGAACAATCAACATATCAAGGAAATCTATAACTTAAGAACTTTGGAAAAGACCTTCGACCAATTACAAATCGGATGACAACACCCTTTTCCTCAAGCTTCCTCAAGGCATCGCCTGCAAAGGCATGAAATAGTACTTCACTAAAATATACACCGGAAAACTAAATTGTAAAATTCATATTAGTCACTGCTGTGTGAGCATCAAGATCCATGTCCTTACAAGATAGTATGCATTGAAAAGTAAGCTTCAACCCTTAAAGATACTTTCACCATAAAACAATTGAACTTTAACGCCCAAAACCATGATACGTGGAGCTCATTAAATAAATAGTGCATATGGATGTCAAGCCATGATGGAATGTATAGCTTTTTATCTTATTTATGCTAGTAGCAGTCACAAGCTTCGCGACGTTGTAAAAGACACTAAATAACCTGTCAGTTAGTGCATCCAATTGAAACCATCCATTAAAAAGGCTTTAAGGCACTAATGATTTAGTTGCCAATTACATCGAAGAAAAGAAAAACTATACTAATAGTTCATGGAAATACTCCAACAACAAACCTCTAGGCATCCAAGAACCCCGGAATATGTTCCTTTTGATGCGGCTCCCAAATCCTGTATAAACTCCAACAACTGCGAGAAGCTTCTTCTCGGAAGAAGTCACATTCCCCCTCAAATATCCCTGACTCTTCGCCAACGTCAAGTCCATCTCGGCCTCCACTGTCTTCCGCCCAATTTCTCTGTACATTGACAGAACATTTCGCCAAAAATTTAGCTTCACAACAATAGAGTCATTCAAAAGAAGAAGAAAACGAATAATACTGAAAGATCCAAATCGGTGAATCAATTACTTGCATCCAAGATTCAGCAGTTTATCTTCGACGGTAAGGACCTTCGGCAGCTGGAATATATTTAGATCAAGATGAAGATCAAATCTCTGTTCTATGTTCATAATCACTCAGATCTCAAGGACGGAAAACCAACCGACGCATACATGGCCGGAATTCTTCTGAAGCAGATCTGACAACAGCAACCGGTTCTCCGCGTCTTGCCACAATCTGAATTCAAACGAAGAAGAAGAAGAAGAAATCCGTCAAAACACGTCGGATCAACTGGATCGAAGAAAAAGGAAGCCGAATAGCTGCTGCGGAGAAGACAAGAACGGACCGGCCGGCGACGTAGAGCCAGGCGAGGCAAGACAAGAAGCCCATGACGAGGGGGGCTCTGCTCGATTGCGAAGCGGATGAAGACGAGGAGGATTTGGGGTGGTGCGATCTCCAACGCCGCTCCTGCTTCATGGCGCTCGCCAGCGTCTCTCCGCCACGGATCGGGAGGCGATCGCCAGTCTCCATCGTTCGCCTGCAGAGAACTGAGACGAGACCGCGAGTAGGTTGGGTTTGGCCGACCCGGGGAAACGGCAGCCGAGACGGGTGGTGGAGTTGGGTCAGCCTTCGTTGTCCGAGGCCTGCAACTTGTACTTGGTTTGAACTGGAACCCCCTTTGGATTTCAATCGGGCCGAATTGGGCTGGGTTCGTTTGGACCGGGTTGGCAAATCAAATTCCAATCAACCAAATTTTGTAATCATGATTAACTGTTTTCTAATTCAATTTAAAACGTAATCAAGATATAAAATTACATTAAAGCATGCATGATTTACTTAGCCAGACAAAACAATATATTTTTTTATATTATTTTATGTATATTATTTATTTATTTAGATTCAATATCAGTTTTATTGAATTTATGAGCAATCTATTTGATCCGAGCAAAACTATATATATCCTTAGTATTAACCAAAGTTAACTATTTTTATTTATTTTATTTTATCTAAATTAAAATTAATTTAAGTATTAGAGAGATCAAGTTGAGGATGTCATGACTTAAGTCTATGGGTTAACTGGTCTATCAACTTCATTTGGTTTAAACCACGGATCAAAATGCTTTAAGTTGAAATCAAATCCTTATAAGTCAATCTTAACCTTATCCACTTTCGATGTGGAGCTAATTATGTTACAGAACAAGTCACCTAATCCAAGCCTAGAGTGCCCACCCAAATTTATTAACCCATAATGAGCATTTAAATCATCCCTTCAACCATCTCTTATACATATCAGCTTTAGTTTTATTTTTTAAAATAACAATCGATAATCATAGTCAGTATTAGTTGACTTTAGTTTATCTAACTATGAAAAATAATAATAATATTTGGACGGAAATGATCTCAAACTCAAACCTGAGATCTATTAAATATGAAACGTCATTAAGGAGAATGATATGTTGTCCTGTTGTAAACATCATATTACTATATTATTTCTAAGCTTTGAAATGACAAATAACACAAAGGTAAAGGGAAAACCCAAATAACGAGAACAGGAAGATATGATATAGAAATCTAATTTTTTATATGACGTACAACAAACTAAAACAAAAGTAATAAAGGGATACTTAATCCCCTAAATCGCTTGACAGAACTCATAGTTTAAAAGTTAAGATGAACTGATTTGATTCATCTTATGTTAATTTGGATTTAAATATAGTTTAATTGAATAATTATATGTATAATTATATTATTCTTTTTTGTTGAATTATAAAAAATTGAGTTGAAATACAATCGAGATGAAATTAAGTCAAATTTGACCTATAAAAACTTATTTATAAAAAATAAAAAAAAGCCAATTGAGAAACCATTATATCATGTTTTTTTTTGCCTTCGATTACTTTGCCCTAGCGGACGGAGTTCGTCGCTTCTCCCACTCTTGCGTCTCGAGGTGGCACCTAGCTGCGGCGAAACTGGCGGTATGTCTTCTCCTCTTCTCCTTCTCCACCTACCATAGCGGCTTACAGTGGCAGCTATCGTCCGTGACAGTCGTGATTGCTACTGACCTTGCCTACATCTCCTTCTCTGTCTCTTTTCTTTCGGGTTCTTGCCGTTCTACTTCTTGTTCATCCTCCTATTCTTCGTTACGGGGATGGATTTCTGAAAATTGGCTGGATACGGTGGATCCCGATCGGGATTGACCGATTTTTTGTAATGTAACCCAGAATTTGGCCCAAGTTGTGGTGTTTTGCGAGCCTTGGTTAGGGTTTTTCCATCCTTACCCAACTAGTGAGTCCAGAAGTGCAACGAAGTTGTCTAAAACTGAACTAAAACAACTCTAGGTGCCTCTCGCTCTTTACTAGGTCGTATATTGCATCAACCGTTGCTTGTATGTTCAGATGTAGAATCTAGATTCAGAACACGTTTGTAATAGACAAACGACTGATATATTTGTTTCAAGAGGAAGATGAACTTCATAGTGAACTGAATATGTTTTTCTAATTACCAAGTTATGCAGATCAAGATCTTGCAGGTTGAAAGACGAAGCATTGTGATGAAATCTCTCTATGTTTTCCATTTCTGTGATTCCAGAATGGCAGATGATAATGATGTAAAATTCTGCATATAGCTGATAGTTATTTTAGGGAGGAAAGGAAGATATTAAGTGAAGGTTGATACCATGAGTCACATACAGATTAGAGATATAGTTAAAGGATAGAACTGCCAATTGGCCTAAAAATGATTATGCCTTTTTTCTCTGATAAAATTCCATCTTAAATCCTTTACGGTGATGTATACAACTTTGCATGTGATTCTGAATAACAGGTTCTATTCCTGAATAAAGGGTGAGGGTTGTGTTAGGCTACCGACGACTTTCGTAGAACTTTTTCTAATTTACCTCCGGGAAATTCCTGTCATTTAGTAGTCTAAAAAAAATCTCAAATTGGAAGCTGTAGTCAAAAGAGCTTGTTTGACTGTCATTAGCCCTTTCCACTTTGCATTTGCAGTCTCTCTAATTTGTCAATTGAAGCAGCATAACAACATCTAGCCTTTTAGTACAATCATATGTTTTCATCTTTTTTCATTATTAACTTTATTTCATTGTGGACACTTGAGAAGTACGTTTCTGTACAAACTTCTTTTCAAGTGTAACTATTTGTCAGATGATTGATTCAACCATTGATAAAAATAATCAACGTTGGTTTTATTTATCATTTATTTAACAATTTTAGTAATAAACATAACCACTATATTATTCTAATTGAGAGAAGAACCTCTTGTTAGCAATCCCCAAAAAAGTCTGTGCCAGCTTTCCTAAGATTCAAAGAGTCAATTTTCTCCTTTACCCACTATGAAGGTGCTGCCAAGTTCTGTAAATCAAATATACCTAACTCCTAAGTGCATCCGTTATACTTCAAATCTTTTGACTGAATTTAAGATGGAAGATATATTGCTACTTTTTACCCAGTTGAGATCCCATCATTTCCATATGATGGCATTAGTTTCTTTGGTTAATGAAACAAAGGCATAGACCTCTTTTAATCTCTTTTTTAAAGGAAATGAGATCGAAACCAGTAGGGAGATTATAAACTTTGTAGTATTTTTAAGAATATAATGCTAGAACAAAGGTTATTGTGCTCATTATTGGGATTTCACTTCTTTAAGGAAGCTGATGCAATGCTCCTTTGACAGTTTCTTTGTCCTGTTAACAACACTTCCACCATTTCATTAACATTGTAGAGCTGCATGAATATTAGTTTCTATTGTGGAGTTATTGTTACTAATTAATTTCTTGAAGTGACTTAATTTTGGTTTCTTTTAATTTTTGTGAATGCAGGAACAGTTGCAAGGTTTATTTTAGTTTGGTAGCATACAGTAGGATGGACTTCTTTGCTGGTGAATGATCCTGTATATAAGAGTTCACAAAACAGGATTTGATATTTTCTGGTTAAAAGCATGAACAACAATCATCTTGGTCCTGATGTCCCTCTCAGGAAGTTGATACTATTGGCTTCCAGAAATGATTCAGAACTACAATTCATGTCTGAAGTATCTAGAAAAAGAAAAGATATGGATTCACTTCCTGATAATAAGATATCCAATATCGTGTTCCATCCAGGAAATCTGAGTCGGCACATAGAGCACCTGCCACCTACAGATTCAACATTGCCACTTCCTGGACTTACACCTTCATTAGGGGCTTCTCAGTCCAGAACTCAAGGATTTCCTTATGACAATGAGTTTATTTCTTCAAGACCTACCAATGCACAATCTCACTTTGGTGACCACCCAGTTTGTAGTATGACTAGTACATTAGGAAGCATATATATGAAAGGCGCAACTTTTATGGAATCTGCAAATAATAGTTCTGATTCCTTTGCACTCCAACAAAATGAACAATTTGTTATGGCAAATGTAACTGCTCCACAAGTTTCTGTTTCAACTGATGCAAGAAGTTCCACTGATGGTATTGGCAGGCAAGCAGAATTAAGTAATCTGCAGTCATACGTTGGGATGAATCTGGGCCATATTAATCAAAACATAAGTTGCACGGAGGCATATCTGACTGCTCAGGGATCATATACTGGCATGAACTTAGGATATGAGAACCGTGATTTTACAAGTAAACCACTTTCATGCTCTATGCCTTCTCCATGTTTACAATCTGTTGAACCATCCAAAATGAAGCTGTTTAATAAGTGTTCTGACTTGGATGGGGAAAGCCTTGTTAAGGATTTTAAGGAAAGTGAAATAACTAGAACAAATGGCTGTTGTCAGTATACAGATATTGCTGATGATAGTAGTACCACAAAAGACACTCCAAATTCTGCAGAATCATATTCAGTCAACAAGGGAAAAGAGGATCGTGGTTCTCACCAGAATCCTAGGACCTACATAACACAAAGTAATCATCTTAACCACCTAAATTTTAGCAATAAAGAGCAGACCCAGAAAGTCATGAATCACACATCTGTTCCTGTAGATTCTTCTAATCGTGAAAAAAAAACATTTATAAGATGGTGATTAAAAACATATTTCTGTGGCTTATGAATAGTTTTGAAACAATAGTTCTAATGGTTCAGTTTTGAAACAATTATTTCTAATAGTTTCTGAAACAATAGTTTTGAAAGATACTGATGATTCAAAACGCAAGAATAAAAATTATTCCCTAGAGAGCCAAATTTCAGTAGTTGAGTTTTCTGATGATCTGCCTTCTCATAATTCAGATGAACAGATCAAGTATGTTGCTGAAAAGAATTCTTCAGTTCATACTGAAAAGCTGTGGGATGGGTCACTTCAGCTAAACACTTCCACAACTGTGTCTACAGTTGCCTTCTTTAAGAGGTTCCTTAATTTACTTGAATCTTATCTTACTGTGGCATATGAATATATTTACATATACGTTCAACGATTTGATTCTCTTCCATGGATTGTCATGTCTATTCAACTCATTTGTTTATGCTAGCATAGTCTTTCTCTAGAAACCAAAGTTTTTCGTAGAGTTTGTACTGAGTTTAACAACTAGTTTTGGTTGATGTGGTAAATTTTGGAGTGATATACTCACTTGAAATGCAAAGAGTCATCAGAGAGGGTATGCACTAGTTGTTATGATGTTAGTTTATAGGCTCTTGCGACTAGTGTTTTTAAAAGCGCCAGGTGCTAAGGTCCCGAAATGTTTGAGACGCTAGGCATCCACTCGAGTAAAGCGAGACACACCGGAATATTAAATTTTAAATAATATATATTATGATTGATAAATATGATCATAAAAAGAAAAATGACATATCAAATTGAAATCATATAAACAATGACACATCTATGTAATGTTTTCATATCAATGTGATATATACGGCTAAACAGAAATATGCTAAACAGGTTTCTAGCCAATGTTAACAGTTCTAATCGGTGCTAAACAATTCTAAAGAGTGGATCAATATGGTGCTTAACAGTTCTAACCAATGCTAAACTGTTCTAAAGAGGGAACTGAGAAGAGGAGCATCCGGTGGTTGTGGAGGAAGATGGGGGAAGGAGAGGGCTGCGGATGAAGTTGTGGATGAATGTAGCGACGCACCGATGACGGACATATGGTTTCACTTCGGGTTTGTCTCACTAGGTCGGACGTGGGTTTTGTGTTGTGATACATTAGTTTGTTCAATTGAACTAACTTGTTCTTTCAATCAAACCAAGCTTGAACCCAGACTCAACGCCACTTGGGTGCTCGCCCGAGTCGCCCAATGCCTGGGCTTAAGTGAGTGCCCAAGAAACACCATTGAAATGCCTCGCCTGGAGGTTTTGCAAATTGCTTGGACCTTGCCTCGCCCGAGTGCCTTTTGAAAACACTACATGTGACCCATATCACCACTCAGGACATTTCTTTGTCAGTTCGGAGTTGGCTGAGGGTTTTAGTTTCATCTTATGGAAGAGATGAAATATTTATGATTGGCATGGGTCCGCAAGAGTTGCATTTGAGCTGGTATGGACTATGAGCCATGCTGGCCCTGTGTTAGTCTGAGTTCATTTTGGTACCATGTCAGTAAGGAATGTGCTGGATAGCATGAATTGCAATGGCCAAACACATGCATTCCATGGGTTGGCTATGGAGCAATTCTGCTAATCAAGATCGCTTTTGGGAGGATTTGTCAAAATACATTGATGGCTATCAGATGGCTACCTATGAAATTGGTCCTATAACACTAGGAAGAGAAGCCTAAGCTGGTGAGAGATCTGCATGGGAACCCAAAATACTAGTTGATGGCTTGAAGGATTTCATCATGTTGGTTACAATAAAATATAATGCAACAAAGGAAAAAATCATATAGAATTACCAGAATCCGGGAAGAGTGCAGTAGGAAATGACAATCTTATTTTGAGGAGACAAATTCATGTGAATGCTAATTATCCAAGCACCACAAGAAGAAAAAAGTTTATATGTAGTCATCTACAAAGGATGTCATACATACCATGTAATTCTAGTATACAAGTAGTCAATAGAAAGTCTGCTCAAAGTTCAACAAAAGATTAGTAAAAAAACCTTGTTGTGAATGATGAGGGGAGGTAAATTGGCTAATCTCTAGATTGCTGTAACCATGTAGCGGCAACCAATCTGATGTCTTGGATTGTACACAGCCTAAACAAATGAAAAAAATTGCCTATTATATTGCGCATGGAAGTTTGTTGCATTGATACCTTTAATAGGCAAAGAAAGGTTAACTAAGAAGGATATGAAGGTTTGCAGGCTCATATGTTCCATAACCACTAAACTTTCAAATATATGATAATGGTGTCTAATAAAGAAAAAAAAAAAAACCTAAGTTATGCTTCTGACACCACATCAGGCCACAAAAACAGAACTAATGAATAACCAAGGAAGCAGCACAAGAATCTGCAGGTACATGAAGAGTAGCATTGTTAATGTTGACCTCACGATCATCTTAATATGCACAATGGTTGCTGGCAGTCTGCTGCCATAAAAGTGTTCCAGTTCTGCTAAAGGAAGAGGAACATTAAACTTTAGTGACCATTCATATCAGTAACTTGATGGTTAAGTAATAAAGTAGAAAATAAGTTTCGATTCACCATATTAAATAAAGACCTCGAACCTCAGAGATAAGCACTCCCATCTAACAGGAGTAAAACTATAATTCATCACGTACACTATCTTTCATTCTGCAATCAGATGTATACTGAATTCAGGTCTTAAGGGAGTGAAGGCTTGTGTTAGAAGAGGTCATATTATAGGTACTTTATGATAAAACTTAACATGGAATTTGTTTTTTATGTTGGTTTACTATCTAGACCTCAAATATTTTATTGATTTACTAACTTGTCTCACTAGAGTTTCTTTTATGCTCTTATTTGCACAAAGTTGATTGATGGAATCATGGAACTAAAAGATATCCGTGGAGGCTTGTAGCTCTTAAGTGATTAGATTCCCTTAAGCCATATGCATGTCCAAGAACAATTAAGAAAGGCGAATGTGGGTGTGGCTCTCAAAGTATCATATAGGTTTAATTATAATCATTGCTGAAGGTAATCTTAGTTATTAAAACAAGCACAATTCAGGAAAGCAAACCGTTGAGTAACATGAATGCTATCAGTGAGATGAATTATGAAGGTTAATTGTTCTCAAATATTCAAATTGAATAACATAACTTCTTCCTCTGACTCTTTTTACTCTAGTTTGGAGAGTAGCCTTGCTTCATTTCAACTACGAATAAAACTAAGTTGCTTTGAAAACAAAGTCATTCAAACTTTGGTAAAGCCAGAACTCAAAGAATTCAGTTGTTTTACAGCATCATTGCCAATTTCAAAGATTAAATTATCATGTTTTGAAATCCCTGTTAAAATTTCTGTAGTACACTCTTCAATAATGAACTTAAGAAGGGAATGTGGCAGTTAACTGTGCAGGTTTGCGACTTTGCGTATATGTTTCGCTACCAATGATTAATCCGAACCGACTTCAGAGACTTGGTTTTTCATGTATAAATCAGAGCCTACCAAAATTAGGAGAGTTTAAAGTAAAGGCACATCAAAACAAGAGTTAAATTAATAAGTGATTGTGGTCTTAGTAGTTTAAATATGCAGTGATTTTTAGATCATTGTGTATTATTTTTTATTTGTTTTACAAAATTTGCTCTTTGGTGGAGGTATATTTGGGACTGATAGAGTCTCTGACTATAGTTTCATAATTGCTGGTCGTGTTCAAATGTGTTTGGAGATTCAGTATCTTGTGGCCTATATTTTTGAAGGATTTAAACATATTTTATATAAGATTAAGGTTCAAGAACTCACCTTACAAATTAATTGGATTTGTATCTTAGACTTAAGATAACATAGGTTTGACTTCCAAATAACGAGTTCTGGTGAAGTCAGAGCATATTTGAAGGCATGGTTCCACCATTAGAATAATTTGAAATGACTAAAATTTGAAGTAATAAGATGCTATTGTCTACTTTTATCAAATTACTTATCATGGAATGAACTGAAAGATTCTGCATTATCTTCAGGCTCTCGACTTACCAACAGTTGGTAGGCCTAGGGAAATCTAGTATTCTACCAGCTTATTGAAATGATAGCTCTTTGTTCTTTAGGCAGTTCATCTAATCAGCACAACCTTATGATTCTAAATCTTTAATCAATTAACGTGCCAACTGACTAAGTTCAAAATTTTAGAAAACATTTTAATTTTTGAATAGCTCTGAGTATACAAACATATGGGTGATTGTGTTGCCTCATATTCAAATTCAATCAATCAAATCAGTTTTAGAAGATCTAGAAAGGTCCAATGAAGATTAAATTCAATGAAAAATGAAACATTTTGAATTTTTTTTTTATGGGAATTCTGATGAGTCATTTATATATTTAATCCAATTTGAATAACAAAATAAGGTTTATTTTTCAGGATATTTAGACATCATTATTTGGAGCAGAATATTTAAAATAGTTTGGCTGAGTTATACAAACAATGTAGTTTTAGCTTTAATGACTGGTTACTTAACTGCTCGTGTTATAAAGAACTAGTTGCTACCAGAGGCAAATTGTTTATAGATCATATTTTCAATAGAATTCAATGCTTTAAAACAATTTTTCTTCATTTTAAATTAGTTCCAGTTGCTTAAATCCACTCTGGAAATTGGATTGAATCTCTCCAAAGGTTCAAGAAACTGAAAAGTATAAGATCTGAAGACTAATTTGAGATCAATAGCCGTCAGCCATCAAATTAAAAATTTAAAGTTTAATAACAAACTTAATAACAAACTTAATGCACTCAAAAGTTAATCAAATTTGTTCTGGAGGTTGTGTAAACATCATAGTTTTATACACAACATTTAATTGGATTATTGTGCCAAAGTTTAGGTGCTCAGGAATTGGTTTGAATTAAGGATTGCTATATAATGGCATGGGAGCGTGCTAATACTTCTTTGGCATGGTACAATTTCATATCTTCAATCAACACACCCTTGTACCGGTCAGTACAAGCTAAAAGTTAGCCTACCATTTGTTGGCATCCATGACACAAATTGTCATGGTGCCTAATGACCATTTTAGATCATTACGTTTTGGCATGACACTCCTCTCAAGCAATATAGGAAGAAGTGGGTTTATTTATCAGCTGCTTTGGTCCAAGTTAATCTAGTTAGAAATTAGAACTTTACATTAGGTTCCACAAAATAACCAATATGATACTTTTAATTATGATACTTTTACAATTTATTTTGTTCCTTATGTTAGATCCCTTGTATTCTACACAGTCTGCTGGTTGGCCAGGGCAATTTGTTAACTTGCCACTTGGAATTTATTTAAAGGGCCATTGTAACACAGAATTGTGTTGGAATGATAAACTTGATATTTAGGCCCTCTCAATTATTAAAGGAATTAATTCAAAGATTCTCGTACATTTAATTTTTTAAATATGAAAGTTTACATATCTGCATCCCGGCATTCATACTTGAACGTTCCCAACCTTTAGTTAAAATTACTACTTAAGAAGTTGGCCAGAAACAAACTGATAAAAAAATTCTTTGAATCATCTGAGTTACTTGAGCATTGCTCCAAAGATCTGCCCAAGTTTTGCAAGTTTATCAAAAAAATCTGTCAATTTAAATTCTTCTTCAATTCTCTAGAGTCATTAAAATTCAACATCATGCAATTACCTTTGATTCCTTTCATAGGAACTGGAGATCTGATCAAATTGGTAAAAAAACAACCATTACATTGTTTACCTGATTGATTACTTCTTGTCTTTTAAAGGTTGCTGGATATTATGGGTCAAGTAATTCTGTCAATATTTGGTGAACATGTGCAACTTAAATTTTGAACTTCACTTTTCCCATATTGAAGGGTTAAGAAATATTTAAATCAAAGATGATTAAGAAATAAAAATTGATAGGTTTTGCAGATTGATATCAATTTTTCAAAAATAATTTCACTCACGCCCAACATTTATGATGAGCTGTTGTTCTGCAGTTGTAACTGCACTAAATTCAACTAGTCTCACTCTTTGTGAAAACCAAATGAGCTAACTTATGAGTAATGAAAATCTTATAGATCTTAATGCTTTATGCAGCCTTCAGGCTCCCTTAAAGGATCAGAAATACCACCATGAAAATCAATTTTTGCTCAACATTGAAACATGATATCAAGGGCCATGCCAATTAATTAGATAAGTCAGAAATCTGAGAACCATTTTATTTTTTTAAAAAAATCTATGAATATATACAAAGAGAAATTATCAACTTTAATGCCCCATGATAGTATATTTGCCTCAAAGAGACAGTTACAGGCATATTATAAACATCGAGAAGTATGTGCTCCTTTAAATGTATTGTTCATATGCATGTTCTAAAAAAAAAGGAGAAGAGCAACTCTGTGTGTTTTTCGAACTATAGTTATGTGGTATAAATCACCAATCATCTCCCTTCATTTAACCCCATAAAGGTACTGTCAAGAGTCGACAAATTCTATTGGAATCAAGTTGTTCTTGGTGCCTACTTCTCGATGGTCCATGCAGGTTACTTTTAAGCTTTTTGGGTTATATGTTATCTTTCATCTAGTATATTACTTTTCTAAATCCATAAGAGTAAGCCATGTGAATCTTAAAGTCACCAATGCAAATAGTTTGAAGATGGAGTGGATCATAGTCATTGGCGGGCATTAAATTTTAACTTATTTCAGAGTTCTATGCAGCAACTAAAAGGAATTATGATCAGTGAATTGTAACCAAAATGTGTGTTCACACAGGATAGTGCAAGAGAGAGGCCTTTGTTATACCAGACAATTTTAGATGGAGAAAAAGATATCCACAAAACAGAACTTTTACATGGCGGCTGAAATCATGCCCTAATTGTCCCTAGAAGAATCTTAAGTTCCTTTTTGCTTTGAGTTTTTTTTCAAATTAATGACCTTTTACATATAATCCCTATTTTTCTCTCTTTGATTATAAAAATCTCTTTCCTTTGCTTTATTTGCAATTTGAAACATTGATTTCTCATGAAATCTAGAAAAAGACTTTGCAATTGCAATTGCAATCTGCTACTGTTAATCCGCTACCTTCAACGAGAAACTGTCAAAATTTTGTGAATAGTTATTTGCTTCTGTTATATCTTTTTAAAATTAATGACAATTAATTATAATATTCTAATCATCTTCATTTCTTCCATCTCCTCTTCCTCCATTGTTTCCATTGCTGCCTCATGTGACTTGCTTCATTATCAGTATCACTTCAACTTCATTTCCATTGCTTTCCCACCTCACATGCATGCACCATCTTCAGCAATGCTGTCCGTCCTCCTCGACCTCAACTATTACCACCTGGCTACCTCCTCTGTAGCCACTAGTTGCTGGTTCTCCTATGCTATCTTGCATGATTGAACCTTTGTGGTTGATTCAAAAAAAAATTGTGCTGAAAGTTCTGTTCATTATTTGTCAAATATGCAATGCACAAAGCATCTGTAAGTCGTTATCTAGCAAATAAATAATATCAACCGAAAATGGTTATACAAGAACATGATAAGCTACTAATTTGATCAAAAGTGACTATTTATCGGACCTAGGAACGCAAGTTGCATCAGTGTTACACCCAAAGAACCTTAAAAGCAAAATCCTTGCAATAGTTGTGATGATCATAATTGGTTGTAGATACTAGCTATTAGCTTCTCAGAAGTTTTATATGCTTCTTGGTACTAAACCATGCTATGTGCAATTTTTGTGATAGGTAAATACAAAATATGGTTGAGACCCAGAAGTCTAGTAACATGTATAGAAAGGTATATAAAAGTCGAATCAATTGAGTTGTTAATCACTGTTATCCTCATGTTTTGATCTTTAGTCACTCACAAGCTTTTCAGGGTACTCTTAAGCTCGAAAACTAAAACTCAGAAAATTATTCAAGAACTTCCTTTACACACCGAACTAATCAGTATGAAGAACTTTCAAAGAAGTTATATCTCCATATAAATTAAATGTGAAAAGAGTATGTCAAGGTGGTTTACTTTATAAGACTAATGCCTCTGCAAGTGCATGGCATGGAGGCTGTGCGGAGTGTACATGTGCTGCATAACAGCATATGCCATGCTGGCCAAGGACCACTGACCGTTATTGGATTGATACAGTTTATCTTTGTTGTCCTCTTCATGCTCAGTATTGCACAAATTCAGTGAAAATCTCAGTGGAGCATTCAGTCCACTTTTTTCACCTTGAATATTTTGTGAAGAAAAGTGTTCCATGTACTTTTCCATGTTATTTCTTCTCACTGCTCCTTTTTTGTAGTGGTGAGAAGGCTCAAGATATAAGATGGTGCGACCTTTTGGAAGTTAAAGGAAAAGTGAGACTGCAGGCATTTGAAAAATTTATTCAGGAGCTTCCTCGCTCTCGAACACGTGCTTTAATGGTGGGATTTTTTTTGAATAATCAGTAAATGACAAGAGCTGGCTTGCAAAATGATCTGTAGAATCTACCTAATTTGCTAAATTTAGTGTGCCTGTGATAAATTTTGCGCAAGTTACTAATTTGGAATTTTGTTATAAGCTCCATAATGACTATATTCATGCATTGTATATACATGCATTTATGTAGGAGTTTCTTGGTTTTGTGAATAGTCTGATTTATAGATCATGTAGCTAATGCATGGGATTTAAAATGAGTATGCCTGGTAAAGAAATCTTTCATTTAAGTGATTGATCAAGAAAATCAAGTTCTTTAAACATAAAGTTCCTTAAACATACTATTGTATTTGTAAGTGTGTGTTGAAAATTTATAGATCAATTATCTAATTTGCATATTTCTAAGACCTATTTGCTATTTGATTCTCAAGGTTATGATATTACCACCATCAAGCCATGCTTGGAAAGAATAAGCCAGTGAAAACTTAAAAGTCTTGTCAGCGATGATGATTTTGTGTCTAATCAAGAATTTTTAAATTGCTCTAATTAATTATTCTATCTGGTGAATGCTGATATCAGTCTGCATTCTTCAATATGTCATGTGCTTCAGGTGATTTCCCTATGTTGGAAAGCTGGGTCATCCATATCTGGCCTGACAGGTATGAAGGAGGTAATGCCAAAAACCTTTGTCAGGAATTTAGTTTTTCACTAGCAATTTTGACCATATTAAATTGTTGGTACTGCAAAATTTTATCTGATTACAGGTTGCTAAAGTTTACCAAGAGAGTGAGAGGGTAGGGTTTGCACAGATCTGTCCTGGCATTGATCTTTATGTCTGCCCTCGAAGTGAGACCATAATAACAATACTTGCAAAATTTGGGTTCTTCAAGGGCATGGCAGCAGTTGAAGAAGATCAGAATTCTCTAATTGGTTGCGTTGTATGGCGTAGAGGCTGTCAGTCTTTGGATTCTGCTTCAAAAGCATCAGATAATAAAATAAATTCTTTAGTAGAGAAGGCACTTAGCTCATCTGAGGAGATTCTAGAAACAAATTCTCCAGTACTAAAAAAGCAGGATGAGCATAGTAAACAAACTCTCCTAGGCACAAGACAACATGATGGTATGCAGTGCCAACACTTACCTGAAACTAGGTCCAATAATGCTGACAATGCAAGTCATATGAGAACTGAAATCAAGTCAAGAGAAAGTTCATCTGTTGATTGTAGTTCAAAATCAGTTAGTGTTCTGCATATTGCCTCTTCACTACCTTATAACTCTCCTATTGCTCCAGTTCAAATTTCTCCTCCACAAAAGCAGGAATTGAGGTCGAAGGAATGCTTAAAGAATCCTCTATTGTGTGCTGTCGAAGGAAGACAAACTGTCCTTGGTTCAGAACCAGCAAGATCACTTCTCTTGCAATCATCTCAAATGCTCCCAGATAGTCATCAGAGGAACATTACATGCAGTGAAAGTTCAACTTATCCTAGTAGTTATCCTGATACTCTTATGCAGTCAGCTCCTTCAATGCCGTCTGGTTCTATTCCTGTTCGACTACAAACAACACAAAAACCTTTCTCAAGTTCTCAAGAGGACCCTACATCAAGTGTTTCAAAGGATGAAAATTATATAATGCACTTCAAAAAATCAGAAGCTCCTGCAACAAGTTCTGAACCAAGCCAAACCACTCTTCCTGGACCACCTCCTTTGCCACCAGAAGTTCTCAAGCGAATCATTCAAGCTAGAGCAGCTGCTGTGGCTAAGGTTAGTACATCTAAAAGTACACACTTAAGCTTTTTCCTTAACTCTCTTTTATTCTTGGATTGCTGCCTCGCATCCCGCCTCTCTTTTATTCATGGATTGTGTACATCTAAAAGTACACACTTGAGCTTCTCCTTAGCTCTCCTTAACTCTCTTTTGCAGGAAACTAATAAAGGTGTTGTCATGGTTGAAATCCCTGTTGGGCATGTTTCTGAACCAAAGAAATTTTCCATGGTTATTGGGCCAAGTCCTGTTCTTCCTGGACCACCTTTGTCGTTGCCACAATCTTTGAGTGTCTGTCCAAGCCCTGTCGATGTGGATGATTTACCAGAATTCGACTTCAGTTCAACATCCAAATTTATAGAATCCCCAGGAAACAAATATCCTTGGTCCAGTTATCCTATCTCAGAAGTTCATCCATTCAATAAGCAACTCCCAAGTGATATGGGCCATAATTTAACACCTCATGGATCAACTACTATGCAGCCTATAGAAGCTAGTCAAAGACATCAGTTTTCATATTTTCCGGGAGAGGCAACAAACTACTATCAAGAGAATCCCAAACGAACAAAATTTCAGAAGCCCATTGTAGATAACAAGGTTGTAGTCAGGACTTCACTGTCATGTGATCAACCATCTTTAGATGCTGATCAGGGTTCAATTGACCCAAGATATAGTAGCAGTTCTCTAAGAAAGTATTGCTGGGATGATGATGATGATGATGATATGCCTGAGTGGTGTCCCCCAGATCTAGAACATGTTGACCGAACCCAAGCAACCACTGCTGTCAATCTGTCATCCCCTGTGCATAATTGGGACTTGGAATTTGCAAGGCGGCGTTCCTTCATCTCTCCGCTCTCAACATCTTCATGCCCCCCAGGAATCCACAGTCTTCCTCGTGGTTACCTGCATGGAAGACAAGGTTCTTCTCCCCTCAACCACAATCCCACTGCACCAGTTCATACGAGATCAGCTGCTGGATTTGATCATTCCATTCAAAGGACACCTTTAGTGCAACATGTAACCAATTTGTCCGGCTATCAGACCAGCATGAGCAACAAGATACCTTCAGATATCGGCAATAGGTTTCGAAGGCCTTGACGATTGTCGACTCGGGTTCACATGGCTGAAAATCCACCTGTCAAGCTCTCTATTTTGCGTACATATTTAACTTGTAGAAATTAAGAGATATCTAAATTGTGCAGACATTCGAGGATGTGTTGTGCTGAAAGCCTTGTAGAGTTGGTAATGCTGTTAAAGTTGTTTTAGGATCCTTCTGAGCTTGGCTATAGTTATATATATCATTAGATGTTATCTCAAAGGCTCCTTTGAGATTGTTCCAAGCAGCAGCCTACATGTGCACATATGCATCTTTTATCTACGGTTGCAAAGAACATACCTTTTGCAATAATTTGCAAATGAAGTTCTCGCAAATAGAATCTCTGATGTGATTATCACTGCCATTTGTGTTTTTTTTTGTTATAGCGAGAACATTGATGAAATTGAAGGGATTTGCTGATACAGAGATTGGGAGAAGGAAAATGACCTCTCTTGAGTGCAATTCTAATTTTTTTTTTTTGGTTAGTGGCTTGAGAAATCTGTTTCCAAGTATTGCTAGTGTTGAAATGAATCAAGCTATTGGCACCCTGCATCTGGTTTGTTCAGTCTATTGCTAGGGTTCCTCTGCATCTCAAGTTATAGGCCTGCTCACCTATTACTGCTGCCTCAAGGCACCCCCAAACGAAGCTAACACATGGATATATGGCAATCCTCTACTTGTCCATTTTCCCTACCAGACATTGATATGATAAGAGAATCGTTTAACATGATAAAAATATGTGCTTATGAGACCGTGAATGTGATAATTAGAAAAGGTCAATAGAAACTATTGAGACCTAAAAAGATCTGACTAGAAATCATAAACAAAGAGATATATATATATATATATGTATATATATATATATGTATATATATATATGTATATATATATGTATATGTATATATGTATATACATATATATGTATGTATATATGTATGTATATATATATGTATATGTATATATGTATATACATATATATGTATGTATATATGTATGTATATATATACATATACATATATATATATATGTATATACATATGTATGTATGTATATATGTATATATGTATGTATATATATATATACATATATATGTATATATGTATGTATATGTATATACATATATACATATATATATATATATATGTATATACATATATATGTATGTATATATGTATTTACAGTCGTCGAGAGACTGGTACGGGTTTTTCTTCCCTTTCCTTTGCTCCCGCGATGTAGAGAGTGTCGACCACTGTTTTGGCCGAGTGTGATTTCTCGATCGACTGGGAGATGACGCCCAAGGGCGTGTTGCTGTTGCCGTTGTCTAATCCGCCTCTGTCTCCGCCGCTACGGGAGGGCAACGCATGACCAGGCGAAGCGCCTTCGCCGCCTTCTCCTACGTGGCCTGCGCGCCGGTATGTCCCCTCTTTTTGTCTTGTTCGATTTGGAATTCCTTTGCGTTGTGCTCGAATGGTTCGTTCCTTAATGCTCCTTTGCTATGGATCCTTAGAAAAGGGTTTGTGTTGTTTACAGTTGAACATAGATCTTTCTTGGTTCTGTTGTTGTCGTCAATCTGTTCCAAATGTAGAAACGCCGGACCTTCTCTTTGTTCGACACCTTTGTTCTCAGTTCCAAGACTTTTTCTTATCGTGGGTGTGCGCTCTTGCGTGGTGCTACAGAGTTGACGCTCGTCCGCAATTTGATCTGGCTTCAGAAGAGATTTTTGGCAATGATTGTGTGAATTCAAGTCTCAAGTTATGATCTTGTTCATGATTTTGCAAAAACACCAACAAATTAACGCAGACTGAAACGGAATCTTTGTACTGTTTAGAACAATTGAATCGTTTCTGCTGATAGAAATACAATAAATATAGGTTGATCTTTTCTCTTGTTGTTGTCAAAAGATACCGGTCTTGTCTAAACAGACATTACTGAGAAACCATTGCTTAGTTAAAGTTAATGGAAAGGTGTGAAAAGATACCGAAAGGTGGATGATAGAAAGAAGTGGATTTTTCACTCTATAAGCGAGCTGGCTTACCTTGTCTGCCTGGCACAAAATTTTGTTGCTCATGATAGGGTTAAAGATTAAGGACTCCCATGTTCTAATCTTTGAACAGATTTGGAGTCGGCACAGATACTGTATGATGTTGATGAATGCATTTGCATTATAAAAATGGGAACTAAAATGTGATTTGAAGCTTATTGGTTTAGCATTGTCGCATGTTATTGTCAACAAAAATGTATGTTAAAATCATAACATTACAATGTTTCTTATTGGTTTATCATTGTCCGTTCTCCTATGTTTATCATCTCATTTACAATTTGTTTTGTTGCAACTTTTGCAGTGCTTCTGGTTCCATTCATCAAAGCTGCTCTATCCTCGTATGGTTTCCCCTGTGCTAATGTTATTACTCTTTTGAGGTATGCTATATCTTCTGTAATTTTTGCCGAGTAGTGACTTGAGCATCTTAAGCTTTGTAAAATGAATATTACAAGTCACTTAGTGCAAGTAACACAATAGGTTTATAATATCATTGCAGGTTGATCTGAAACCCTACTCAATAAAGATAGAAATGATAAGAAACTAATCGATAATAGGATGACATTGACTGGGTTTTACTAGTTAATGATGGCAAAACTGCATTAAATCTAGCTGAAAGGAATATATGAAGTAAAAGTGAGAAAGTTGATGAAACAGTGAAACAGGCAGAAATCATGGACGAGGCTAAGCCTTTGATGGGTGCTTAAAAGCATATTTGAAAAAGAAAATTCTTTATTATTTACCTTCTGAGAGACCTATGATCCCTCTATTTTACAAAGATTAACCATACACCTTTTTACTCATCCTAAGCCCACCAAACCTTCAACAAGTCCTTAAGTAATGTATTTTAATAACCTTGAACTGCTCATCAATTGAACTCCTATTCCAATTCAAATAATTTTAAAAGTGCAATGTGTTGGACCTTCACTAACACTAAGCAGTATTTATTAAAAGGTTTCTTCAAAAAGTGTATAAAATAGAGAAAATTGAACTTAAACCACATATGATTCAATTCTAACTTCTAAGCATGTATGGAACTCGAACCAACCCTTTCTAGAAATGGTTGCCTCATTTATCATTTAGACTGCCACATCTTAGTTGGATATAGATGTAGGACAGGTTCTTTTCGGGTTTTAGTTGTGGCCTGGTAAAAGTTCATCCTTGTCAAAATTGATATGATTTTTTTTGTGTTTTTTATGTGTTCTTATCATTTTAATTGTTGTTTCAGAATGTCTTTAGAGATTATTTTAGCATCTTCATGGTAAAGAGCCCGCTTGTGGATACAGCTTGGTCTAAGAAAGTTATTAAGCTATAAGGATATGATCTTGGACAGAGATGGGGCCCTTGACATGGGACTTAATGGGGGATTGTTAAGTTTCTGAAAAAGGTAAACTCTTGTCTCATTCCCTGTTAGATACATCCATGCATTATAGTTCATCCAAGATGGAATACTTACTCTTCATTAGATACTTCAGTCTCTGGAGTACTAGTTGTTTAAATTCTTGATTTTGATAAAAACCAAGTTAAACCAAGTCATTTGGAGGTCCAGGATTTCATAGCATAGCGATTAATGGCTCCCCTTGACATGCATGCTTTAAGGTTTAAGGTTCTCAATAAGCAGCTCGGGTGAAGATCTAACCAGGTTCTCAAAAAGCAGCGAGTGCAATTAAATTGTTATTGGTGTAGATCTAACGAGGTTCGCAGCAAAGCAGCTCGGATGCAATTAACTGTTCTTGGTGAAGATCCAACAAGGTTCTCAACGAAGCAGCTCGGATGCAATTAATTGTTATTGGTGAAGATCTAATTAGGTTCTCAACAAAGCAGCTCAGGTGCATTTCACTGTTCTTGGTGAAGATCTAACGGGGTTCTCAACAAAGCAGCTCGGGTGCAATTAACTGTTCTTGGTGAAGATCTATTGAGGTTCTCAACAAAGTAGCTCGGGTGCAATTACCTGTTCTTGGTGAAGATCTAAGGAGGATCTCGACAAAGCAGCTCGGATGCAATTAATCGTTCTTGTTAAAGATCTAACGAGGCTCAGGTGCAATTAACTGTTCTTGGATAGGTGTAAATTCTTTGTTTATATGATCAGTGCCTTCTGAAACAATTGATATTTATGTATGAGAAACAGTACATTAGCAAAATATTGGCCTTCTGCTGACCGTAAAAATAAATCGATGATATTGAGACTTCGACTATAATTAAATGTGGTTTTTCGATCTTGGTTGATTCAATCGTAAAGCAAACTATGTTACCAAAGACATGGGCTGATCACTTAAAATCATTATTGTTATGAAATTTAATTTACAACAATTTTCTCAATTATAAATTTGATTACAGAAAGATCTTAGCATTGCCATTTATGTTTGTTTATCCGACCTGCGTATTGAAAAAATCTTAAATTGGATCGTCGACCGGTCTAATTTAATTATTGAATCAAATATGTTAAAATCGAAATGAATTGAGTGGCCTGAGTTTTGGATAACCTGCAGAACTAGATCGAACTGGACAGTCAAATCGTAAAAACGTATCATTAACCAATCCAATTCAATTATTAGATTGGATGTCTTAAAAGCCAAAATGAATTGATTGACTAAACCGATTTTATAATATAATAAAAAGTTACTTAAATATATTAACATAAATCCTTTTTAGCATTTATTAGTTGATATTATCATTCTTATACTATTTTTTACTTTTAAAATTAGTTTTCATATTTTAAAATTTTATTATATCTACTTTTAAATTATTTAATATATTTTAAAAATTTGTTTTAATCAAACAAACAACCCTACCTGCTGACCCATAGCCTAATGACCCAAGACTCGACTAGGGTTTCCCGATTCGGTTCAATGTACATCAATCTCGAGCGAAGATAACACCCAAGATTGATGAATTTGGCATGTGGACAATATCTACCTAGTAAGATGATATGACAAATCCAACAGATGAATCGAGTGTCATGCACCGAAGACGAAGCAGTCGAATCGACAACACATGACGAGATAAATCTTAGACATGGAGGCCATGCAAGACATGGTAAGGACAACACTCGGGAAGAAAGCAACAGGAAAATGGAATGAACTATGAACTACTGATCCAGTATTCTACCACCGCAAACAAGTCAATCCACAAGCAAAGACTAGTCTAAAAACCCAAATCCCACGAAACATGTTCTTAGCAAAGAAAAAGCAAAACCGAGCTCCACTATAAGCTACTAGTTCCTGCCTCGAGGAAAATCTAAAACTAAGTCCGTCGCCTCAATGAATGAGGCTATCGTTCAGTATGCCGACTAATCAGCCGGTGCGTTAGCCCTGCTGCTGCTGTGCGACACTCCTCAGAATTTCCATCGCTTCTGCAACTTTTGCTCTCAGAGCATCTGGAGATTCCAGCAGATGCAGGACTTCGGTTTGGTCCATCTCGAGCAGCATTCCTGTAACTTTGGCTGTATCAACGGGTTCAAGTTGCTTAACAAGTGCGTACAGACTATCACCGAGCATCTGCACAGGAAGAACATGTGAACCATAATCGGTCGACCATAGATAGAGTTGATTCATTGCACTTGTAAATACGAGGACATGTTAACCGGAAAAGGACACATCGATGAGAAACATACCAGCCTTTGTTGCTCGGGAGGAGCATTTGCAAGGGCCGAAGGCAATGCAGCGATGGGAATAGGTTGTGGCACGGCAACATCTTGCATAGGCAAACCTCCCATCTCATTAGGATGGAGCATACCACCAACTGCACCTGGTGTGCCAGGAGGGTAGCTGTGGACATGAAACTTTGGAACCATCTGTTATGCATTATAAGCAAAATAAATAAATAAATAAATAAAAAGTTAGATCAATACTAATATTGCATCACATTGAACATTCTATAAAGCTATAATCTCAGATAAAACCAAGATGAGAACATATTATTTTGCCCTTCAAATTTAAACTTTAACCCTTCCGAATCTTTCACCCTAGTACTCTTTCTACTTTCAACCAATTGCAATTTGCTGTGGTTGTTAATAATAGTTAAACCCACCAAATGGTAACCATGATTGTAAGAAGGCACAGAAAGCTTTAGAACCAAGCGAGATGATCAAGGACCTGTTGCAGAGTTAATGGTTGGTGTACCTTCCGTCTTTGTTGGACAGGGGCCGGTAAGAAATTTGGCATAGGTGCTTCTGCAGGCTGTACTCCAGGGATGAGCTGTGGCTGAAATCTAAATCCTGGCTGTAGACGAAATTTTAGAAGTTATAGAATGATTTAAGCAATAAAAGAATTAATAAAGCATGCATAGTAACTTATAAAGCAGTAACATGCAGATTCAATAAACAAAATAACTAAATGCAGCGCACCACAAACAACACATTTCATAACATTGTACTTGAAATGCACAAAAAAGATCAGTGATGCATTGCAGTTATGACGTATCGTTCATGTGCTTTAGGTGCAGGCAATCATACAAGTTTTTGACTTACTGTCATACTGTATGTATGCCACACCATTCATCATGTAAGTCCATGACAGATGGCATCAGCAACTAAGAGTTCAAAAAAGAGAAGGTAAATTCTATATTCCACATATAGATAATATAATAATTAAGATTGAATTAAAAATAAAAGAATGCAAAAGTATCTATTACAATTACACCTGAATCTTACCAGTGATTATTCTAATCTTTATAAGGGAGCTCCAAATCTAAGACTGAAATAATAGCTTCTGTACACTAGTTAGCTTACACATGCAATGCACATACTAAATTTCCAATTTCCCACTTCACATTTCCTTTTCACTAATGAGCAACAGCATGCTACAACTACCGAAACTTCTTCCACTATAATATTAAAGAAATATAATAATGAGCAAAAGGATAACAAGCATTATAAAAAGTTATTTCCCATTATGACAGTCGTGATAAAGTATGTATATCAACCAATATCCAGTTTGACCACTGGCCATCAAATATGATAATACCTTGACTGATATGCTACATGGCATGTTTGAATATTTTGGCCAAATATAAGCTTCAACAGTTCAAACAGAGATTGAAGGACATGGAGATAATTGTAAGAGTTTCCACCTTAATATTGAGCATCACAAAAGCCAGGATATTATATAACTAATATTGTCCTCGACAGTCAATTGACCAACTAGTATTGCAGTAAACGGTTATCCGAAAAACAGGATTTTTTATGATAAAAAAATTGAATCAAACATAAGAACCAAATAGATACCTGTGGTGGAATAAGGTTAGGAGGTGGTTGACCATAAAATATTTGTTGCCCAAGGCCAGGAGCACTGGGGGGGTAGATGGAAACTCGGGGGCCAACACTTGGGCCTAGGCCCATTGCTACAGGTCGCACTTGTGAAAAGTGTGCCTATATATTAGACAAAAAAGTTATTGAAAAAAAAAACAAAACATAAATGCCAGCAAAATTTCAGAATTTTATTATGGCAAAATACATTGCTACAAAGAGACATGACTATAAAAGAGACAATTTCGTTATGACATAATCCATTTCAGACAATGGACCATCAGAAAAGTACTTTGCCAACACAAATTACACAGTTCATCATTTCCAGGTTGGATTGAGTAAAAAAAGAGGACAAAAAAGCAAACGATTATAGGGTGTAACCTAAAGGCTAATTGTAAAGCACTTCCACTATTTTTGCAAAACTAACACCTAAGTAGACATGATATGTAACAAGTAGGATATGAAGCTTCTAGAAGCTTGTTCATATCCTTTCACTTCAAAGCTAGACATGAAACATCAGTTGAAGGTACCACACTAAAACCTAGCTGACCACATTACCATTGTAGCTGCTTAAAGTAACTTGATTATGACCTCAAAAAATGGTTGGGATAAAGTAGATACCTGAAAACTAGCTCTTCTATCTTCTTTCCGTTGCGCAGGTGCAACATAAAGTGGCTTCCCGCGAACCATCTTTCCCTTCATATCTTCAAGCTAAAAAAAAAGAAAAAAATTCCATTTATGAATGTTCCAAAAGATTTTTAGAAGAGAGTGTATGTGTGTGTGCGTGCGCGTGAGAGAGAATGAGATTACAGCTCGATTTGCTTCTTCAGGTGCAGAGAAAGCAACAAAACCAAAACCTTTACTTATACCATCAGGGTTCCGCATAATCTGTAACATATATATACATCACAAGAAAGCCATTATGACCAAATCAAGAAAATTAAGAGAATTAATTGTACCAAAACTGGACATCCAGTACCTTGCAAGAAGTAATTGTACCAAAATCAGAAAATAGTTCTTTCAGCTCATCATCCCCAACGCTATCATCTAAGTTCTTCAAATATAAGTTGAGTCCTTGATCCCTGTCCACTGTATTCCTCGCACTCTGATTATAACTTTTTCTTAGTGCTAATTCTCTTTCGGATTTCTTCAGTGCCTTTCCAACATACCACTCCTTATCGTCAAATTTCTGCTCATTGAGTTCTTGAACTGCTCGAGCGGCATCATCTGGATTCTCAAAATTGACAAACCCAAAACATTTAGATTTTCCATCCTCCTCCCTCATAACAATGGCACTTGTAATTTTCCCATACTCGCCAAAGATATTTTCTAGATCTTCATTTGTAGTCGACTCTGAGAGGTTTTTGACAAAGACATTAGAAAACTTTGTCTTGTCTAAGGAGTTCTGTCTTTCTTTTTTGCGAATAAAGGGTCCAACAAAAACTGGTTTATCATTTAAAAGCATTCCATTTATCTCATTGATTGCATTCTGAGCTGCCTCCTCTTGTTCAAATTGAACAAAACCATAGCCTTTTGACTGTCCAGATGCATCTTTTGCAATCGTGCAGGAAACAATTCTACCAAATGCCGAAAAGATATCAAACAGCTGTCCATTGCATATTGCTTTATCTAGATTCTGAAAAACACAAAAATAACAACTTATGTATGTACAATGCGAACTTGCAACTGTCAAAAGAAATGAGTAACATAAATTATCCATAATCTAATTGGAAACTGACATCTTCACCACAGCAAATTAAACAATTCATTACCTTAACAAATATATTTGCTGCCCCATTTCTATGCATGCTAGGGTCCCGGTTTGAATCCAGAATGCGAATAGGCTTATTGTTAAGAGGCATAAAGTTCAGCACCTCCAATGCCGTTGTAGCTGTCAATCATAAAAAAAAATCAGATAAAAAAAAGACATTCTTACACTTAT